TTCTTGTTCTTCCAATGTTTTCCCAGGGCTGTGTGTGATTCATTATTTGAGTGGGCAAGTTGTTCCAAAGTTGCATATATCTGAAGAAAAAAAACCTACTGGGTATTTCTTTTGTTTCATCCCTCATGACATTGACAAAAGAAATGTAGAAATTACAGTTAATCACAATGTTGAAGTTATAATTCATCATATTTTGAAAGCACATCAGTGCACAAACAGTCAGTGCACAGCTGGACTAAACAATTTCCTTTCGAATTGTCCTATGATATTTACACAAGTGTTCTTTACCATTTTTTGAAAGTACACCACAAGCACAACATACATGCACATATATTTTCATATTTCTTTCTTGCACGACCCCTCCCCCTCTCACTGTATATCAATAAAGGGTACATGTCAAGTACAATATAATTCATCGTCATTATAAAGAACAATCAAAGAAAGCAGACTTTGGATTATTGCTTACAAGAGTAAACCTAACTGCTCTGAGTTATTATCAATCACTAAGAATACTAATAACTTGACAAAAATACAAGTTATAGAACTACATGGTGTATCAAACTGTAGCAATCACCAAAATATGTTTTGCTCTTGATATAAGTAATTCTACATGTGGCTATACTGTATTCAAAATATGAGCTTCGAATATTACTTTTAATAGACATCATCTGACATTTAATACAGATTGTAGAAATTTTGGTAACACAGGGATCCACACCAACTTTTTGGGAAGGGGGTCCAGATTGAGCTTTTTACAACACTGTATATGCATGGGCTCTATGTTCAACATTTAGGGGGTCTGGACTCAGATTTTAGGTGCCCATGTTTCCCAGGCGCTTGTTAGTGTTTAACAGCGTGTCCACACACAAAACAATTTATCCCGAAACTCTATAACGAAACGTCGTATAAAGAATCATAGTATAAATTTTAAGTGTCCACACACAAGAAACGTCATATAAATAATCATCGCATAAATTCAAGGATGTCCATAAACAGAAGAAAGTAATCCTGAAACTCTACAGTCTGGTCTCCTTTCGCTCGAGGTCACGTTAAGCCCCGCCCAGTTAGTTACACTAGTTACACTCCCCCTGTCCACACACAACATTTTCGTGATTAGGCGTGATTCTTTATTGAGTTTCAGTTCGAAACGATGCCCAAACCTGCGTTTCGTTAGACTAGTTTCGTTATACGACGTATCGTTAGTGAGCGTCCACACACACAATTTCATCGTAAAACTATCGCGAAACGGTATCACTATCGCGAAACGGTATAGCTAATCACGGAAAATGTTGTGTGTGGACAGGGGGTAAGCCTACCGGTAGGTAAAGTGATGATCGAGACCAGAAAGCTCACATAAACAGATCAATAAGCATTGAGGTGTCATAGTAAAAGCGGTTTAAACAAATGTACACAGTGCTTATAAAGCGCTTATCACCGAAGTCTCTAAGGGCTATATCAAACAAAATACAATGATAAACAATTACATATTAAACAAAACAAAAAGAAAATGCAAATAAACCTACAAATTACAATACATATGAAATATACATATGTGAACAGAGTACATGTAAGTTAATCATCAAAAGCAATTTTGATACGAGCCCCGGAGTGGGGCAAGGATCTTGAGTGGCCGCACCCGGATCTTTGATATTAAAGACGTAAATCAGCATTTGCCACTATCCACCCAGGATATAAATGGGTACCGGTAAGAGGGAATTCCTTGAATACATTGAGCATCAAAATCAGTAGCCTACCTACATGTACATGTACATTAATGTTGGATGCCTTGAGAGCCTTGCAAGATAGATTTGTGCTCTACATACATGTAAGTATTGTGTACATTATTCCAAAGGAATGTTCTTCTTTTTATCACTATTATTACATGCATACATGTAATAATCTAACTGATGAGAAAACTGAGAAAAAAAAGTTGGAAATCATGCTTGATCTACAAGCAGTGACTCTTGAGTGTAGGCTACTACATTGTAGATCATTACATGTACTGTACATCCCCTGTATAAACACGATGGAATCTTTCTTTCAGCAGCATCTCTTCCTTTACAACATTAAATATTTATAGATATAAGCAGGAGAAAGGTGATACTTCTTGGGTGTTCATTGGAGCGATCAGTGTTAATGTATCTGCCATCATTCAACTGGTGGTTTCGCATTGCTTCTCTTTGCATCGCTTATCGGCTTCTACATGTTGTATCTGCTGCTTTTAAGGGAAAATGTTAAAGGTAGAGACCAGTTTTAGAAACGTCCCACTCTCAAAAAATGAAATGGAAGCTCTAATCTTATTACCAATCATGTGAAAGAATATGTTTTGACTAATGATTATGCAAATTTTGCCAGGAAACCGCCTACTAATTGATATTTGGTAAATTATTATTACATCTATCTGGACCGGATAGATTTCGTGCACATGTCACAAAGTCCAATATATATCTTTCTGTATACAGCGTTTGTAACTTTACCAAGACTGGGCCGAATTTCTCATCATTTTGATGATTCCAGAACCTTGCAGTACACACCAACATTTATATGCTAGATGGTCAACCTTTTCTGATCGATTCTGAACGTTTTTTTTTCTTCAAAATGCAATCGCATGACCAGAGCTGATCTTTACGTTTAAGGGAGGCTCTCTCTGGGGCATGTTGAGAAAAAACATGGGGCAATTCCAGTGTTACAGATGGGATACCCAACCCTCTCATTGTGATGTCACAACTGTACCTAGTATTTGGTAATTAATGGAATAATGATGCATATCGTCGGTGGGGTGACAAAACCTTGTATCTCAATTTTTTGAGATTTTGATTTTTTTTTGCATAATTTTGTACCTAATGGCCTACGACACCACCTGATAAATCCATGGAACGCCTCCTTCTCGGTTTTTCACAAATTCCACACAAACACCCTTAAACTAAACCTCGTAATTTTAACCCCCTTTGAAGCTGCACTGACAAAACCTTGTAACATAAGGTATGTAATTCCTTTTCCTTGTAACTCACACATGGCCTAACAGAACCGAAGTTGAGTATTCAAATCCTCGTAACTTATTCAACCAAATCCTCTGAACTGCTATATGTAGCAGTTCAGCGAGACAGACGGGACATGAATTTACTTTGATGTCTTTTGAATTAACTCTCCTCACTGGATAATCTTAGAACAAAGTGTGTATTTTGACATGATTACTTCTAAGTGCCTTCCTGTAACCTACATGTAGTAGCTGCTAGTGTACATTTAAATATTAAATTCCATGAAAATGAGTGTAACAGACGGGACATAAAACAACCTGACAGACAGGACACATTGAGATTGTAAACAAATTACAATTTTTAAAGAAACAACATTTTAAGCATTAAAGGTACTATGGGGCAATTCCACGGTAACGGAAGGACACTCGGACAAGATTTTTGAACTTCAGGTTCATACTAAAAGAAATGTTTTATTAGTATGTATTAAACTATGGGGAACAAAATGTGTTTCAGTCAAGTGGAAAGCTTCATCAACTTCACAAAGTTTGGATAAACACTAATTAACTGGAAAAACCATGTCCATTTTTATGTCCTTCCGTTACCGAGATAATTAATATGCACATTCTTAAACTACTTAACTATAATGACAATTTTTTGGGGGAGAATTAAAGGCACTTATATAGGTATTATATCTGTACTGTTTCACATCTTATACTAATAAAACAGTTCTTTTAGTATGAACCTGAAGTTCAAAAATCTTGTCTGAGTGTCCTTCCGTTACCGTGGAATTGCCCTATGTCCCTTTTGCAGCCAACCTCAAATGCTGTAGAACTTTGCAGGAATTATGAATATGTCATGTATGTCCTATCTGTGAAATTTAAATGTTAGCAGTGTCCTAATATTCAAATTATGCAAGGAAAACCGTTTACTTGCTACACTTCACTGTCAGACACTATTGAGTGACTGACTGGCTTTTTTCTTCTTTGGTAATAACATATGAAAAGAGTTGTAAAGGGTACATGAGCATTTGTCTACATCAATTACCCACTTCTTGTGATGGCCAAGATTAAACTGATTGAATCTTTGCGCAGCATAAAACGTATGACCATTCGGTACAATTGTCTGAAAATCAAGACTATTACTTTTGGGCTCTATAGCCCTAAAGTCGATTTGACAACTAATAGTCGTTATTTTCCCACTTGAAGACATTTTCAAGCCCCACCTTTTTTAGGGAAGTTCTAAATTAATATTATCTTTCAAATGCAGTTGGAATTTTAACTTTTTCATTTTTTTGGCCTGCAAATGGGACATAGTCCCTTTAAATAAATCATTCTTTTGTTCTTTTATGGTCATCTAAACTGTATGCATCATAACTGTATGCATCATAATAGGATGAGCAATTTTTATGTAGTCCCATTCATATTTTTTGCTGTACATGTAATTGTTAAAACGTGACAGATGGGATATCATTCCTTCTTTTCTTGCAGATTTCACATTCGACATTTCAAAAACATTTTATACAGTCTGCTACTGTGGGTGTGCAATTTGTGATGTATCTACCAGCTTCCAATCATTAATTCTTTAAAATATTAATCTAATATTTAAAATGGCTTTTCATGCTGCAGACAATATGTCTGTAAGTGTACAGAAAAAGTTCAATTATTTTAACACAACTTGCAAAGTGTGCATCATGGGCTAAAGTATTAAAATATTTATCAAATTGTACAGGAAGGGTTCAGCTATGTACTAAAATCTTTTTGGACAGTTTGCTTTTAGCTATAAACTTACCATATTTGCTTTAAATTTGAGTCAAATGTGGCGATGCTAATTAAAGGATTGAGATTGAGAATCATGAGGCTTTCTCAATGTCTGCAAGTGATTGATGCTACTTTTAAAATATTCAGCAATGATCTTTAGAGGTTTAACTTGATGGATGCATGTACATGTACAGTACATGTAGGCTAGTTTGCAGGCACAAACTCTTGTCAGTCATACTTCTCAACAACGTCTGCATTTTGAGACTAAGCCAAAGCTATACTGCATAGGCTCTGTACTTCAGCTACTCCAGACACACCTAGAGACTGACAGAGCTAGGCTACACTCAAGGCTTTAGGAATTGTGGTAAATTGTCAAATTAGAGTCTGCATCTGCAGACTAAATCTAGGCCAACATGTACATGTATAACTTGCTTTAATATGGTTATAAATGCATGGCTATATGGTACATGTACATGTACATGTATATAGCCACAAAAGCATCTATCAGTATCAGTTTCTACTGAAGTGATTTTAACAGAATTTAGAACAAAATGGAAAAAATAGCAAATAGGCTATAAATTTATCCTGTTTACATTATCTTCTGCTATATTTTCTACTTTTTGAGTGAAACTGAGAGTGACCAGAATCTGTTCAAAATCTATTTTACAGCGCTTTTATTTGTTAATATTTTTCAATTATTGGAATATCTCAAAGCTAAAGTGTATTGTGTATACATGTGCAGTGTAACCGTAGTTCCCTTTATTACAAATATCGAAAAATATGTCATACATTATTTAGATTGCTTTTGTTTGTTCATGTTGCTGTTTCTTTCAAAACAAGAAAATGTTACATTTGGCTAATTCTGAACAAAATTCCCATTCCTGTATTTCTTCTGTGCTGATTGTAATTGTAGGTCTACATGGAGCAATTTATAGACCCTACATTTAATGTATATGCTGCACTGTACAAACATTACATGATATATTCAGTGGTAGATCGAGGAGGGGTGGGATCGAGTGGAGGCACATGCATCCAGTCAGAGAATTATAGAACTTGTGCTCCCCCTCCCTCTTTCCAGAGAACCCTTGATCAGGCAATGAGTGTTGTGTGGTATTTAATTAAATCAAGCAACCCCATTCCATGTTCAAAATGTCATGTACATATATGACCATACAATCGCTGCATTTGTAGATCAGAGTCCATCTACACTGCACAAAGAAAAAACAACACAACTTTCTTAAAGTAACATTTACATTACTGGAAAACCCTGTATAAAACAGTTGGTGTTTTGATAATTGTTTTCTTTGTCACCCAACCTTTTTTTTTTTGTTCGAAGGGGGGGGGGGGGAGGGGTGGTGAGTAGTACACATGTGGGACTTATCGCTGCTCTTCATGAAATAGCTCGAAGATCATGAGCAAAACCTGGATGATTTAACAGTGTTTTGTGAAACTGAATTTATGCTGCATAAACAGGTTGAGTATTGGTGTGAGTGTTCAAAGACCACACTCCACAGGTGGGTTTGAGGATTTGAGGATTCAGGTTTTACATTGTGATTACGGTTTAGTTGCCTTGCAACCTTTGACAAAACTCTGGAAAGTGAGAAAAACCCATCGTTTTTTTCTTCAAGTGTAAATGCCCCTCCTGAGTAGTTTCTGTTCCTAATTCAACCTTGGCTGATGATTAAGACACTGCAGGCCCAACATTTTCATGACGGTTGAAACCCTGTCTATCTCTCTCCTCTGCTCAACAAATGAGCAACAGGGTATCTAATCTAATGTATGAACAAATTACTACACGTACATGTACATGTATGTTCCATTCCTAAAATTAAACCTGATGAAATAGACACAACATGAATGTACACTACAGTGATTTGATACACATGTAAGCCAAACAACTCCCTTTATATTTCACTTTCAACATTCATGTATTACTGTTATTCCGTTATATTTTACTTCAGCATCAGGGGTAAAATTGTTTCAGCCAAAACATTTGTTACTTTTTGTGGTGATTCGGTTTGAATAATTATAAAGAGTTGATTTCTACTTTCTTTTCAAAGGATGGAGTTAAAGAGAAAGAGGTAAAGAGAAAGAGGGAAAGAAAGATAGGGAGAGAGAGAGAGAGAGAGAGAGAGTTCCTGTATCAGAAAAATATTTCCAATACGTTTCAGAGTTCAGACGGTGGTAGAGATTTTCCTGAATTACTTTATCAACAGAAAGTGGTAGTATACATGTAGGGACAGCCACAAAGGTACTGCTTTATATCTCAAAAAGTAAATTTCATACCTCTGGATCTTGCAGCAGATGAGAATATTGTATTTTAATCATACATGTACTACACTGTAGGTATAAATTTCACAGAAAGAGAGCAAATTTTGTATAATGTTATATATTTTCCAAAGAAAAGAAACCAATTTCATGTCAGTTAAAAAAAAGGTTCTTTCTAATATAGACATGAATAACCAAGAATTATTTTATTGCAGGCGATTTTAACTAAAACATTTTTTGTGCAAATGAAAGAGTAAAAATAGATGATCTCTGATGTGGATATCACCTGTCACAATTGGTCAGTATGCCTACCAGAGTGACAGAAAAAACAAGTACCTGTATTGATCTTGTATTAGCTTCTCATTCTGAACATATTGATATGTCCCAGTCAGTCTGAGTGATAACTTAAGGTAATGGGATTTGTGAACAAAAAAATTAAATGCACATGGGTAATGCATCTAAAGAGGTAAAAGTCTGAATTTATAAACACTTTGAAAATGCAATTAGGCCATTAAAAAAAATATACATGTTTAGCGTCCCCGCCCGCTTCCTTTTAGGGGGCCGCCTCCTATTTTTATTTTTTTTGTTGTTGAAATTTTTGATTTTTGATTTTTTTTTTTTTTTGAAATTTTGTTTCGATTTTTTTTTTTCTTGAAAAATAGCCCGACTGTCAGGGAAAATGTACTGAGGGGCCATTTTGAGCGGCCATTTTGAAAAAAAAAAAAAAAAAAAAAAGGGCCTCCTTCCTATTTTTCAAAAAAACAGGGCGCTATTGAACATGTGTTTTTTTTTTATTTGGCCTTTTGTATGTGATACATGTATGTTCCAAAACCCCTGGTATAGGGAGCTCAAGTGTGAAGATATAGGACGGCATGGAAAAGATCATTCCATGACATTTTAATGTTCATACTCCATTTTGCTCTATTTGTATGTGTACATACAGTGTATGGGTGTCAAAGGAAATGCTTGAACTTTGAAGGCAGAGGGACTATCTCAACAGGACTACAAATGACTGGAAGAAAGCCAGCAAGATACAAAGTCAATAATATGGCAGAATTTTTGAAGAGAAGATATTATTGCACAGAAATACAAGAAAATAGAAACAAGCTCAATCGATTATAGAATGTGACAAAAGAAGCTGTATCCATTCGTAAAGGAAATATAATTGGAAGACAATTAAGTTTAAAACCACAAGCTAACGGCCTGTAAACCAAGCTAAAAAATGTGGACAAGATCCTCTACAGCTCTACATGTATGGCGATCATAAAAGTTAACTGTGTACGTTGTACCCCCTCCTTTTCCACAAGCATCACTGGATGAGTGTGTCTTCATTACAGGCAAACATGGTAACTAATTTAAGAGACCAAGCATGAAACCATGGACCTATTACGGATGGACATTCGTCGTTTTGTTAACAAATTCATTGTGATTGTTTCCTTCAATGTTGTCTCAATAACATTCCGTACATGTTTCTTCACTTTGATCTCATGAGGTCTGCCGCCGATAAGCCAGGACAGAATCAAGATTTTTACACATGTTAATCTACATGCGCAGAAGATAATAAATCGCTTACATCATGGGAAATCGGTGCGCAGTTCTGGTTTATAATCGTAAATTTTTGTTCCGTTTACTGTCTTTATTTTGAAAAACATGTTGATATTTTAATACCAGATAGAGTTTCTATTTGGATTGTTTGTGACTTAAATTCCTGTTTCCTCATAACATTTCAGAGACAATGCACAGGGCTTATAGAGATCATGGCCTCCTAATTGTTTTATAAGGTCATTGGTGCGTGCGAAAGTGTGCGAATCAGTAATAATAAATTTCATATCATCGCCAAATCGTCTGCATTTAAACTTTGCTGCTCCCCATTGGTAATGTTTTTTTAAAATTAAGACACACTCTTTAAGCACACCATCCAAACGAAACCAAAGAGAGGGAAACTGCTCCTTTGTCAATGACCAAAAATGCTTACCAGTCGTTATTGAATGTTCTCATTATAAAGATGCACATAATCAGAAGGCAGCCGATCTTGTTGGATCAAAGAAAGAATCTTGTCGAATGTCGAATAAGGTCCATGATGAAACACAGATTTAAAAAAATAAAATAAATGCCAAATGGAAGTGTAGCAACTGTGTGTCACAGACTCACAGTTTGGAAATGGTAATGTATAAATACCGTTTACATGTACATGTACTACATACACTGTATGAACATGTACATCTGGATCAAGAAAATGTGCACAGTAATTTCTTAACCGAATTGTCAACAAGGGTACATGTCTTCTGTTTTTTTTATTGATTATTTAAAAACAGATACCTTCCTTCCTCAAAAAAGTATGATGAAGCAGGTTTAAAACTACAGAACAATTCTGTGGGATTAAGATTCAATATCTTCAAGCAAACTGATCTCATATTAGGCTTCAATACCATGGTCTGCAATGTTGTAAATGGTAAATCGCTTGATAAGAAGAGTTACACCTGTAGTTACTTTTAATATGATCATTATTATAAAAATGCTGCAGTATTGTCAATCATGTAAATCATGTTACAATCACTGCCATTCAATATCAGTATTGCCAGTCATTTTCAAAGTGAATAATGATTAATCCTACAGCCAAATCTTTGAGTATGAAAGAGTACTTACGATCTCTTTTTGTTCTCTTGAAGCCAAACGGTGGTGTGTAATGCTCCAGTTTATGGTAGATTGGGTAAGATTGAATGTCTTCCAAGTTGGAAAAGAGCTTGATCCCATGCTCATAACGTGTACGAAACCATTTTGAATATTTGGCAAGGGTCTGAACTGTCTTTGGACATTGCTGCAGAAGGAAAGAGAGAGAGACAGAGAGAGCTCATTGTTATTATTGAAAAACAAGACTTCAATGGTATCAATGTATTGACATAATGAGCTAATGTAAAACCAGGGTGATCAAAACATTGAATTGTGGATTTTGTGACTTATTTGCAGAAGTTGAATTATACAAATTTATTACTCATATTGTGTGATCAACATGTGTAATTACTTAACACTATAAAGTTGTTGCCGTTCATGAAGTTTCTTGTCATAAAAATAGCTGCCATAGACAATTTGAAGTCAATGGATTTACAGGAGAAATTGAATGTGACAAACAAAAGTCATTGACTGACATAGCAACAGCCAATGAAGGCAATAATAATGGTAACCTAGTCCTTACTAATAAGTTATAGCACGATAGCTAGTAGCTACGATAAAAAGTGGACTGTGTGTGTGTACATTTTCTAGGGGTTGCAATGAGACCATCCGTTACATTGTACACACACAAAAAAATATGCAATCAGCATTAATATTTATTACACTGGAAGTACAGTCAAATGTCTGTGACTACATGTACATGTACAAGCAGCCTTACTCAATTCAAATACACAGACACTTCTCAGTCAATGGGCTTTATTATATCAGTAATTAATATTAATTCAACAACAACGTACTGTACACCAAGTAATAAAGTAATAATAAAATAATGAAGATGAAGATGACAATGACGACGATGATAATAAAAATAATAACATTAATAATAATAATAATAATAATAATGACGATAATACCAACAATAACAATTAATGATAATAACAACAACAACAACAACAATAACAATAATAATAATAATAATAATGATAATGATAGTATTCATAATTATTATTAATGTCATCATCATTATCATCATCATCATCATCATCATCATCATCATCATCTAAATGTGTTCATGTACATGTACATGTACATGTAGTAATTAAATTTAGTTTTAGATAATTGTTTAAAAGTGCATTTACTGGCATATTATCATGTAACATTCAAACAATAACACTTTATAATGTACATTTATATGTAGTACAAATGATAAAGTCATGACAGAAAGAAAGACAGAGGGGGTAAGAGTAGGATAGAGTAATAAAGAAAGAGAGAGCAAGAAGGAGGGACAGACAGAGACAGGGAGAGAAAGGGAGGGAGAGAAAGGGAGGGAGAGAGAGAGAGAGAGAGAGAGAGAGAGACTCTACCAACCATCAGACATCATATACTGTATAATTTTAGCAGTCAAGACAGATAATAAGCCATATCCTAGATCTTTCTAGTTTGACTGATGAGGCAATCTGCCAATTATTACCCAATAATACTCCTAATTGCTTCAATGCTTGTCAAGTTTAATGGCCTGCATGCATTGCTACACAAGGTCATCACCCCATTAATGAACACAAAACACCAACATTGATGTGTACATGTACAAAATGGCCAATTTAACAAATCTGTGTCTTTTGTTCAGTAACAATTAAAAATATCTGGGTTGGATAAACAACCACAGGAGACCATTCATGATCTTCTAAAACCTTTTTCCTATGACTAGGGTAGAAGAGGATTAAAGGAAACCTCACCCCCAAAGAATTAGTGTAGGTATTTTGAAAAATGAGATGTATTCCTACCCTTTGATGTACAATATTCCTTAAGAAAGATGTACAAGATATATATAAATGAAGACATTTTTGGCATGATATGATGCCTTTTGGGCGCAGTCATTTGCTTGAAAGTGTGACGTACCAGTTTAAGTTGTATCATGCACCTAGCCTTTTGACAAGGCCTCGTTGACTTTGGCTAAGCGGCTGAGATGAGTCTAGATACCCGGAGTGAACGCGCGACCGAATGACGAATGTCATGAGGCCTTTTGGAAGGTGGGTTTCACTGCTCCGCATGAATTATTCATAGAATGTAGGCCAATACGCCTACTTTGGATTCATTGACCAATCAGAACGGCGATATCCTAGTTGGCTTCGTTCGTGATTCGTTCCATGTAGAGGTCAGTGGTCAGTGGTCTTAGCACGTACGTATAGTAGGCATGTAGGTCCATGTTCGCACTACGTAGAGTTTACTCTGTGTGTGTGTGTGTGTGTGTGTGTGATGGATACTATATGCTGCGCTGACGTCGTGCTAGGATACGTTTTCTACGTTTTCTGAAGCGAGTTCCAGTCGGAAACAAAGGTTAACATAAGAAATCCAAACCAGATTGATAAAGGCCACAGGTCTGGACAATTCGCACTGGCGTTCATTCAGGTTTTCGCGCTTAGTCTCTTTTTAGTCGCTCGGCGTCTATCAGGCATGTGGCCTTGTTTAAAGGCTATCATGCACCAAGCTCTGGTTGGAAAGACTTTTGAAATCAATAACAAAACCTTCACTTTTCAATGAGAAAAAAATCATAGCTGAGAAGATAGAAATTATATTTGGTGGAAAATATATAACAGGGTAACAATTGTATCTTTTTCATTTTAAAATACTTAAATATAACAGTTGACCAATCTATTTCATTTATGAGACGCCTTCACCCCAGAAGAGCACCAAATATGCAATTTGCGTTCTGGCAATTGTACATGTACATGTAGTACAACAGTTATGGCAGGTGAATGAAATGCTTCATCACCACACACACCTAGGGAGGAAGCATCCATAAATTTGAATACATTTACTTGACAAACAACCTCACATTTAATATGTACAGTGTAGTACCTGTACGTTACATAATTATCAATAAATGGCGATGCCTACGTCATGCTGAGAAACCGTTCATTATTCTTGCTTTATGCCTCTCTTATAGATGTACACCTTGGTGGGGAATCTTGTAGATTAATGGGCAAGAAATCTCTCAGAAAAAGTAAAGTTATTTTCTGGGGTGAGGTTTCCTTTAAGTCCAGACTAAGGGTGCGTTTATCATGTCTTGCCACTAGATATGTATACATGTATATCGAACCCCACTAAACAAACGTGATTTGCGTGATGTCGCGTTTATCGTCTCTTCACGATTCAAAATAAAGGCCTTGTTTCTACGCAGCTGCTTTGCGCCATTTGACCCAGGAAGCAGACAGTTTCTCAGAGGTCAACTACACACACATGCTTGTACAACAACATGACACAACACATGGCGAGCGCTAGCCTCCGAACCGGAAATTAACCTGGAATGGTCCGATTTGTATGTGGGGTTCAAAACAGCTTTGCGTTTATCAGGTCTCGGAAACGTGATTCTGGCTGTACTGTATGTCACATTCAAAACTCAATTTTTTGGCGTTACAATATGCTCATATCTAAAGACGTTTGAAAAAGGCTTTGCGTTTATCAACTTAAAAATTTTCCTGAAAGAAGTTTGAGAAACCTGATTCTAGGCAAAAAATTGGTCAATATAAACCGCATTCAACGTCCAGCCTTCTTAGGGTGTGTTTATGCCCATTTTTTTCAGGTCAGAATTAGGCTCTTGTTCAGTGTATAGTTCAAAACACGGTTGCGTCCTTTCTCATTTCGGCGATCGCAGATTTACAAAAAGGTGTGTATCGGTTTGGCTCAATATTATTCTTTAAATTCAGAGCCCTACATGAATAATCTACAATTTATATCAGATGCATGACATGAGTAGAAAGGGCAAACATTTCTGCACAATGTGTCCATTTATGTTGCGTGATCTTATTGATGCCAGGGATTTTGAAAAGGAGAAATAAAATTTAAAATCTATAAATTGGAAACATGCGGAGAGGTACAAAATCATTGGGGTTTTTTCTCAATCAAAATGGCTTGTTGGATGACCAATGGACATACTGCGTTTTAGTGGGGGTATTCTAAAGTTTAGTTCGTTATTTTCTTGAAAGTTACAAGAATGGCCTTCCATTGTTTAAAAGTACTTAGTAACATTGTGATGGCTGATATCACAAATCTGTTAAATCAGGATGCAAAAGACGTAAAATTATGTTTGTATGTATGGATTATCCAACTACGATGCCCCAAATTAATTCCCGCAATATGAAGATTTTTAACAAAGTTCAACGGGTTTTCGAACGGGCGTCGATGTGCGGCGCTTCTGAATCTAAATTCTCCCAACCATTTTTGAATTTTCCCAACCGTTTTTCCATGAAAAAAAAGACATAAAAACAGGCTATAAAAAAATCTGTCAACACTTAAATGTCTGGAATGGAATGTAGAGCCATTTTATTGCTTTGTGAGATTTCCATTCACCTAAAATGTAATTAAATTGTAATAATATAGTTGGGAGAATTAAGGAATCGATCGGATCAGTTTCTCCCAATTTGTACCACCATGAATAATGGTCCGTTTTCGCTCAAATTTTCAGATTATCTTTAATTGTACATCTAGCATTGAAGTCACTACCTTAGCACCACTATCTCTCATCTGAACAATGTTACAAAGTCCCTTTACTTCAATCTGGTCGTCTGTATGTAATTGTCTTTCCATCTGACTAACCAGAGATTCTCGCTCATGACATCCCACATACAGTTAGAGCAAATTAAGTACACGTACATTGTACAAATGTAGGTCTATACATGATCACAAGTTGAAGTTCAATACCAGCTGTACATGTATTTGCACTACTGGGTGTGGGCACCAAATAGTTCTCTACCATGGCAAATTTTTGCTCGTCCCTACTAACCAAACAATAAGATCAAACATCCAACCCCTTTTTGTAAATTTGTTGATATTAATATCCTTCTTTTACGCATCGATCAATGCACAGTTGCACACCATTTATGGTTGCAGCCATGGTGTTAAAAAAAACCAAGGCCAAGATTAAGGTCAATGCTGATATTTTAGTCTTTGTGCCCACAAGTCCAGAGTTTAATTCTGAGGAAAAGGCCATGGGAAATGATAAAGGTTAGTTTCAATAATGCGGTGCTGAAGTAAACCATAGTGGTTTCCTTTTTAGGGACACCCTGTACCAGCAAATAAAAAATAACCTTGAATTGGAGCAGTACATGTATATTAATGACACTTTACACTTTTAATTTCTTTTATGGGGGGGGGGGGTCCTTATAGTCGCACCTTTAGATAAAAAACATAACCAACAATTGTGAATTTTGTTTTCTGGGGGCAGCTTTACTACTTTTCCCTTAATTCTCCAAACTGTCAACCTGTCTATTATTAAAGGCCACCCACAAGAAACAAAAAAGTAGTAACTGTCAGCAGGTGGTCTTTCTACACAGGTTCTACAACACACATTTCTTTCTCAAGGGAGACAAAATGCTTGGCCACTATAGACAGGTGACCTTTATAGAGAGGTGGCCACTTAGGCAGGTTTGACTGTATACATGTACAATACAGTATAGTAAAACCAACTCAGGGGAGACAACTAATATGCAGTCTTTATGAGCATGTGGACTTTTTGTACAGGTTCTATAATACATGTTTCAATGAGAAATGCAGTTCAAGGGACACAAAAATTGTGGTCTTTATCTAGACAGCTGGCCTTTTTATACAGGTGGTCACTAAAGCTAAACTAAAAAACTAAAATGCATAAACTTAGCATTTTGCATAATTAATTAGGCTATAACGACAAAATTTGCATATTAGGAAAAAACTAATTATATTTTTTTGTTCCTTACATAAATATCTACAAACATGCAAATTTTCGTGTTCATCGGACTTTCGACAGCCAAGATCATGGGGGGGGGGCCTCTCAGGCCCCCCCCCCCCCCAGTCATGAGGGGCTCAAAATAGCCCAGTACTATGGTGGCCCTGAAGGGACATCGCGAATAGACTAAATCATGAAAAATATGCGATAAAATTCACGATATCGTCAATTTTATCGCATATTTTTCACGAAGAAATTCACGAAATTGACGATATCGTGAACTTTATCGTGAACTTTTCACGATGAAATTGACGATATCGTGAATTTTATCGTGAAAAGTTCACGATATAAAGTTCACGATATCGTCAATTTTATCGTGTACTCTATCGTGTACTCTCCTGACGGGCGCTTCGTAAACAAAACCAGCCCTAGCTGGGGGAGACAGAGAGAAGGAAAAAAGGGAAAGGGAAAGAGAAGATAAAAGGAAAGAAAGAATAATAAGAAGAAAAGAGGGAAACGGGGGGGGGGGGGGGCGAAGGGCTCTTGCCTCCTCCTCACTCCCCCCCCCCCCCCCCGCCAAAAAATAAATAAGGAGAGAGAGAAGGGAAAGGGAAAGGGAAAGAAAATATAAAAGGAAAGAAAGAAGAGGAAGAAGGAAAGAGGGAAACGGGGGAAGGGCGAAAGGCTCTTACCTCCCCCCCCCCCCCCCCGCCAAAAAAATAAATAAGAGAGAGAGAGAGAGAGAGAAGGGAAAGGGAAAGAAAGAAGAGGAATAAGAGGGAAACAGGGGAAGGGCGAAGGGCTCTTGCCTCCTCCCCCCCCCCCTCCCCCGCCAAAAATAAATAAGAGAGAGAAGGGAAAGGGAAAGAAAATATAAAAGGAAAGAAAGAAGAGGAATAAGAAGGAAAGAGGGAAACGGGGGAAGGGCGAAGGGCTCTTGCCTCCTCCCTCCCCACCCCCCGCCAAAAAAATAAATAAGAGAGAGAGAGAGAGAGAAGGGAAAGGGAAAGAAAGAAGAGGAATAAGAGGGAAACAGGGGAAGGGCGAAGGGCTCTTGCCTCCTTCCCCCCCCCCCCCGCCAAAAATAAATAAGAGAGAGAAGGGAAAGGGAAAGAAAATATAAAAGGAAAGAAAGAAGAGGAATAAGAAGGAAAGAGGGAAACGGGGGAAGGGCGAAGGGCTCTTTCCTCCTCCCTCCCCACCCCCCGCCAAAAAAATAAATAAGAGATAGAGAGAGAGAAGGGAAAGGGAAAGGGAAAGAGAAGATAAAAGGAAAGAAAGAAGAGGAAGAAGAAGAAGAAAAGAGTGAACGGGGGCGAAGGGCTCTTGCATCCCCCCGCCCAAAAAATAAATAAGAGAGAGAGAGAGAGAAGGGAAAGGGAAAGAGAATAAAAAAGGAAAGGAAGAAGAATAAGAAGAAAAGAGGGGCTCTTGCCTCCTCCCCCCCTCCCGCGCCAACAAATAAATAGGAGAGAGAGAGAGAGATAGAGAGAAGGGAAAGGGAAAGGGAAAGAAAATATAAAAGGAAAGAAAGAAGAAGAAGATGGAAAGAGGGAAACGGGGGAAGGTCGAAAGGCTCTTACCTCCCCCTCCCCCCTCCCGCCATAAAGGGAAAGAGAAAGAAGAGGGAAAGAAAATATAAAAGGAAAGAAAGAAGAGGAAAAAGAATAAGAAAAGAGGGAAACAGGGGCGAAGGGCTCTTGCCTCCTTTCTTTTCTTTCTTTTCCTTTCTTTCCTATTCTCCCTCTTTTTCGTTTTTCTCTTTCTTTCTTCTCTTTCCCTTTCCTTCTCTCTCTCTCTCTTATTTATTTTTTGGCGGGGGGCGGGGAGACGAGGCAAAAGCCCTTTGCCCCCGTTTCCCTCTTTTCTTCTTCTTCCTCTTCTTTCTTTCCTTTTATCTTCTCTTTCCCTTTCCCTTTCCCTTCTCTCTCTCTCTCTCTGATTTATTTTTTGGCGGGGGGAGGGGGGGCAAGAGTCCTTCGCCCTTCCCCCGTTTTCCTCTTTTCTTCTTCTTCCTCTTCTTTCTTTCCTTTTATCTTCTCTTTACCTTTCCCTTTCCCTTCTCTCTCTCTCTCTGATTTATTTTTTGGCGGGGAGGGGGGGGGGGAGTGAGGAGGAGGCCGGGAGGAGGCAAAAGCCCTTCGCCCCCCCCCCCCCCCCCCCCCCCCCGTTTCCCTCTTTTCTTATTATTATTCTTTCTTTCCTTTTATCTTCTCTTTCCCTTTCCCTTTTTTCCTTCTCTCTGTCTTCCCCAGCTAGGGCTGGTTTTGTTTACGAAGCGCCCGTCAGGAGAGTACACGATAGAGTACACGATAGAGTACACAATAAAATTGACGATATCGTGAACTTTATATCGTGAACTTTTCACGATAAAATTCACGATATCGTCAATTTCATCGTGAAAAGTTCACGATAAAGTTCACGATATCGTCAATTTCGTGAATTTCTTCGTGAAAAATATGCGATAAAATTGACGATATCGTGAATTTTATCGCATATTTTTCACGATTTAGTCTATTCGCGATGTCCCTTCAGGGCCACCATACAGTACAGTAGGGGTCAATAAAAGTGTTGTACTTACCGATGCAGACTGAGATGGGTCAATGACAAATGGTAAAGCATCGATGTCTACAGCTTCTATTGGTTCCGGCTCAGCAGGCTGTTCTAAAACAAGTCCAATTTTCTTCTCCTCTTTGGGTTCCTTTTCTCCCGTTTCTTTTCCCCCCATCATCTCCTTGATGGCAATCTTAACATCTTTCAAGTCTTCATTCACATTGCCTCCGTCTTTCTTTGAATCCTCCAGCTTGGCCTCAATGTTCTGCAGGAGATTGGCAATGTGGTTCAGTTTGCCTGACTCCACAGGCGAGTCGGCCCCCTGCTTCCCAAGGTAGATGAAATTATCGTCCCCCGGTGCGGCCACGAGCGCCTCTCTCTTCTGTCCGTCAACGACTTGATGTTTGGCGGCGGAGGTGTCAGGGTTGTTCATGAGGATGATGCCCTTGTCGCCGCGTTGGACGCGCCTTGCCATCTCAATGTACCGCTGCTTTGCACGGGCGCTTGCTTGTTCCCCATTGCTGTGCACCAACATCCCTATGACAGTCAATAGGACATAGACACTGATCCCAGAAACCACGGCCATGTGGACAGGACGGGACCTCAGCATTCTCAGCCACATGATGGCCTTTGACCTTCCTAGTGTCTGTAAAAGGTGTGTTGACCCTAACCAAGGAGGGTGGGTCGGAGTGCTTTGACTGGTTCAGCCAGGTCCAAGTTCAAAGGCAGCGATTCTTATAAGTTGCATTGTGGCACCACTAGTTCAGTCATGATCTGTACATCCTGTAACAAGTGTCAGACCTAAAAGAAAGAAAGAAAGAAATTAGGAGTTTCTAATATTAAGTTTAAAGGGATCGTTTAACGATGTTAAATCTGAGATACACGACACTACGTGTTATCAGTGTATGTGATATGGTGTAATATTGAAGCCCTAAAAAAATTGCGCTTCAAAACGATCAAGAAGTGCCTCAAAAAATAAAAAAAATTTGAGTGACCGGTTTTACCATACTCGTTTTCCCCAATAGACTGTAGTGTTATGAAAACCGTCAGGCGAACGGTTTTCAAAATTTGTAATTTCAATCATAAATATCTTGATAATCAGACAGGCGATCGGCTTGTAAAAGTCATGGGGTTCCTGGCTGACCCAAAGGTTTATAATTATCATTGCATCATGAGCTAAATCCAGAATTTTATTTCAGAATCTGAGACAAAGTTACCGGATCCCTTTAAAGCACATTTTCCTTGCAAGATTATTGACGATAGTTTCTGCTCTTTCATGAAAGGAAAATATTTTATAGTAATTGTGGACCCAATAAAATTTAAGGCAGTAAGAATAGTACTATTAAGCGCTTTACAAATGTGATTATTATCATTATTATCATTACAATAACAGGATCATGTACTGTATACAGTAGGTACATTTCTTTATGTACATGTACTTCTAAAAAGTTTTTGAGTCGAACATGTATAGGACATGACATTTATCTCATTTATTTCATCCATAAATGAAAAGTCTCTTGATATGACTATGTCTATAATGGTAATGATACCAGAAAGCATCATTACTCAATTATCAAATCAGGCGGTTCTTCATTTTTTATGAAATAGGTTGGGGGTCAAAATGTATGTCATATGGTACATATTGCACAGAATCACAGAAGTATTTTGATTTTTTTTTTAATTCTAAATTGTTCATAGTCTGAGAGTAGCTACATGTATCCCTTCTCATAAAAGAGATTCATGTACTGTAGCAAACTTGACCAGTCAATGGAGAACAGTGCATTGTAAGGTTACAGGATATAGGCACCATATGGACAAATTTAGGAAATGTCAGAAAAACGATGTAATGTTGGAACACAATGCACTTCAGACTTTGCATACTCAGTTCACACAGTATCACATACTGTACTGTATGTACACTCGCACAGATGCCCACACAAAAATGTACACCACTGCATGGAATAGAACCTTTTTGAAATGTATTTAAATCTAATGCACAAATCTTTGATAAGTGCCTCATTACAAATTATTTCATGCACCTCTTACGAATAATTGTATTTCGATAGTCAGAATGCGAATAGCATACATTAATTGATGCTTGCCCTACCTAGCAACGATTAATGGATGCTATTCACATTTTGACTATCGAAATACAATTATTCGTAACAGATGAATGAAATAATTTGTAATGAGGCACTTACATGTACATATACAATCAAGATTTACATGTATGCATTCAATTTCATTATGAAATGGGACTATTGACTCTGAAAATATTGATAAAATTAGATGTTATGATACACTGTGTGAATTCAGTTGCATACAGAATGGATTAACTAATGAAAGAGGGAGAAGAAAAGAGAGATACATGTACATGTATAAATGTAACAAACAGGGCTTACAAATACAATGACACTTGTACCTTCCTTGGAGTATTGCATCTTGGTGAGCAGAATATATTATTGAAAATGTTATTGAAAGTGTTATTGCATGGTCGTGATTACTTTTAGAGTTTTGAAACAAGATTTATTAATTTCATTGCACTGTGTTCATCTTATATGCTTTCAGATCTAATAACATCTAATTGAATTGAAACTGAACGAAGTTGAAAACATACATGTATACATGTACATCTACAATATACATGTACAAGCAGCAAGAATCCATGGTCCCATGCAGGTCTACATACACACACACTGTACATATGGATCACACAAGTTCATTGTAAACTCCCTCTTGTTCTGAAATGCTATTCAGCTTTTCAGATACCTTAGAGCCAGATGCCCTAACTCTGGGTACAATATTAAATGTCCTTCTGGCTCCAAACAAAGACGATTCATACATGTACATGTACATGTACATACAAATAAATCACATATCATCTGGGATGACTGGGAAAGAGCTCCAAAATACTTGTCCCGCATAGAGCACCAAAAAATGTAATGACAAATTTGAAACATCCTCTTAATTCTTTTGTCATCTCAATTGTAATCCCAAGTTTCCTTAGCCTGCCTAATTACAGAAAGAAAAGAAAGAACAGTTTAATAATGAATACATATCATATGTTCACTGTTTATTAAAGGAAACTAGTTTTTCTGTGATACAAAACCATAACAGCTGCATAAATTAAATATCATCTGGGATGACTGGGAAAGAGCTCCAAACTACTTGTCCCCCATAGAGCATGTAATGACCTTTCAAATTTGAAAAATCCTCTTTTATGTGCAAATAAACCAAAATTTTGATGATGTCATCGCAATTGTAATCCCAAGTTTCAGAAAACAAAGGAAAGAACAGTTAAATAAAGAATAAATATCATATGTTTACTGTGGTAAATATTGGAGGATAATGTATGTAGTGCTTCTGTGGTATAAAACCATAACAGCTGCACAAATCACATGACCACATCAGGCCTTAAATCAATCGACGGCCATCGACGGCCAGGCTGTCGATGCCCCTATGACTGGCCGTGGTGCCCTCCCAAAAAAAGATAAATTCACGGCCAAAAAGGCCGTGCCCTTTTTTTCAAACTGGCCGTCGTGCCTTTTTTTCCAACTGGACGTGCCCTTTTTTTTAAATTTGCGCTCATAAAACCACCAATTGCGCCCATAATCATCTAAAACTAGACGGCAAGGCGCAAGTGTTTTCCGTGAAAATGCGCCCATAAATTATTAGAACAGTAAAAATACACGAATCACGAACAGTTTGCCGCCCACGAGCTCTCTTCTAGCTTCGTATTTAGTGCTTTAATAAGGCGCAAGTGCCGTGCAAATGCGCCCTTTGTTATTATATAGGCAATGCGCTAGCGCACGTACGTACGTTCATGCGATCGCTTGATAAAATATGGTGCATGCTGTTGACGCACGCACGTACGTAGAATTTACGTACAAATCGAAGGCCAGGATCAAGAAAACAAATCGTCAAATGGAGAAATAAACAAGCATTCAAATAGTCATTAGAGATCTGTCGAGGTTTGTTTGTAGGTCTAGTTTATTATTTTATCTCAAATAGAATTTAGAATTATCTTATTAATAAGTTAAGAACACCTACGATGTTGTCGATCGTAGTTACTCTCATTTTGCCACCAGCCGACCTAGCTTCAAAAAGCTACCCCGCCAGCTTCCCAAGACGAACGTTTCGCGTCCCGGTAAATTATCTCCGAGGGTGCATCGGTTTCGCTGGCAAACTTCCAGCCCGACAGCTTCCCACCAAAAGTGGCGAGAGTGTGTGTGCGAGGTATGATTTTGGTTTCGTGAACGCAACTGAGCTGAGCGTGTCACTTTCAGCTGTCGAATGTCTAATGACATTTTTACATCTTATTTCATTAGTTAGGCCTATCTAGACCTTTCTATACAACAGTTAAAAAGATAATTTCTTCAAATTTGCTCCTACTACCGAGAGTGTGGCGGAAGGTTTGTGTGTGAGGTGCGATTTCGATTTGGGATACCCGGCCCGGCCCGGTAAACTTGCCAAGTCCTTCTGACTTTCGATGTTTGTGAAATTGACAATTTATTTATTCATTTGCTCATCAATATTTTTAGTTACTTTAAAATACTGTTTAATGTGCAAGTTTGATGTTCTTAATCAATCTTTCCTGTTCACATTGTTAAGATTAAAAAGTTATTAAATTGATCGTTTGATCTATTCACATTATGAAATTAACATTGTAGATCTAGACTCTCTTTGAACTTATGATTAGATAAGGGGCCTCTCTGTTTTTGGAAAATTGCCCATTGCTCTGGTAAATTCCCGTGGGCAAGGGGCAACTTTCAAAAAAAATTGCCCGTGCTCCTGGCTGCTAAATCTAAGGCTTACGGGCCGCCGCCTTGTTTGTATGTACCGTAGACCTCTAGATTCTATACATTCTGTGAAGAAGCTGGTGCTAAAAGTCATGGGAAATTGATCCCGCACAAGTTTCATAAAATACACATGACATCTATTACAAAATAGAATCAATTTTTTTGGCCTCATACTCGATGCCCTTTTTGTAAAATATTTTGGCCTCGATGCCCTTTTTGTAAAAATATTTTGGCCTTGGTGCCCTTAAAAATATGAGGTACTCGAGGCCAAACTGGCCTTGCCCTAAAAATGACGAAATTTAAGGCCTGCCACATATCATCTGGGATGACTAGGAAAGAGCTCCAAAATACTAGTCCACCATAGATCACTAAATAATGTAATGACCTTTCAAATTTGAAAAATAAACCAAACATTTGATGATGTCGTCTCAATTGTTATCCCAAGTTTCCCTTTGCTTGACAGAAAGAAAAGAAAAGAAAGAACAATAATAATAATGAATGCATATTATATGTTCACATAGGAGGATACTAGTTCTTCTGTGGTATAAAACCATGACAGCTGTACTAATCTCCATGATTCAGTAACAGAAGTTTAATATGAATTAAAGAGAAGGTAAAGTTCTGGAACAGATAATTTGTGTGCTGTCTCATTCTATTTAAATGTCAGTTTGTGTTAAAGAAAATCATAGAAGAAAATTCAAGAAATGTCTCTGACAAAGGTCTGCTCTTTAAATGCCCTCGTTTTTTAAATTGATTTTATTTAATATTTACCAACAGCAATACAGTAATAAATTTCATACAATGATATTTAAATTTATACAAGAAGAGAAACTATTGGTTGGAAAAAGGGGCAGGATAATAGCACAAGTGCTAGTCAAGCCCAATACCTTACAGCTGAACTAAAAAATGGTTTGGAGAATTTACTGTTTAGAGGGTGTCGCCTTCAAAGAAAACCACAAATATCTTTGTGGTTTAAGATTTTTGTCAGGATTTTATGCATGT